CTCAGTGCTCTGGGCTGGGGGACAAGGTGGGCATCGGGCACAGGGGGGACTCGGTGACCTTGGAGGGCTTTTCCAACCTTAACAACTCCTGAGATTAGGGTTTTGAAGGAATTTTCTACATCCAGGCCAGATTCAGCCCCCCTCCTGATCTAAACCTTACAGAGAAATTATAATTTGCATATCCAAATTACAGCTAAGCTGCACATGGTGCTTCTCCCTTCCTACCTCATGCTCAACATGTCATTAATTTTGGGTGACTTGTGAGTGGAACAGGTAGGGAGATGGGTCTGGGTTAGGCTGGAAAATCAGTCAAGACTTAAAAAACCCCCACCTGTGATGTTGCTTGGAAAGGTTGTGGCTGCCCCATCCCTGGAAGTGTCCAAGGCCAGGTTGGACAGGGCTTGGAGCAACCTGGGCTAGTGGGAGGTGTCCCTGCCCATGGCAGGGGGTGGGACTGGATGAGCTTTAAGGTCCCTTCCAACCCAAACCATCCTGTAATTATATAATAAGATGGAAAGAAAAATCATGGAGGTTTCATTTGAAGCCTTTGAGACGAGCTCTAGGCCGACGTTTTGAAGGATGAATCCAGAACGAACTCCAAGTGGGCATCAGGGTGGAAAGTGTCCACGACAGTGACCTTATTTTCTTTGGAAAAGTCTGGATTCCACTGGTTGGGAAAGCACTAAATATTGTATCACAACGGGAGTGCTCTGAGACTCTACAGGAAAATAAATTGCAAAACTACACTCTAGAAACACACACTAAAAAAAGCACCATCCTTGGAAAATCTCAGCTGTTTAACAATTTCTAATCAAATAATCAACTGTGCTAAACCCCTTTAATTCTACATATTGATCCCTCTGCTGAAAATTTATTCTCAGTGCTTGACAAGACACACAGCAAAGTTTTTTATGAGCAAAGGGCACTGGGAAAATATATTCAAATGTGTGTCTTCCTGTAAAGCCCAGAGGTAAATATTATCTTTCAAAAACGTCTAGAGGCAAAAGGCTAAAAAGCAGTGAGGAATGTCAACGATTTCATGCATAAAATCATTCCCATAAAAAGCAAACAGTGGAAGAAGGGTTATATGGCTAAAATATGTGAGACTCAATGGAAAAACCTGCTGCTGTGGTGTCTTGAAAATATCAAATGGACCCAAACTCCATCAAACCCCATAACGATCCTGCTCTGCTCCCCACTTTGGCTTTCTTTGCAAAATAGCACCTCTTTTTATGGCTTATTCCTTCCTCCAACAGGGGCTGCAGCCTCTGGCTCGACAGCTCATATCCTGATCTGGCCTCTGCCCCTATTTCACGGGCTGTGAACACATCTCAGCTTCCCAAACTTTGACAAGACCCTTCCCATCAACAGAGGGGCCCTGAGAACATGTTTCCATCGACAAAGGATGCACAGAATGTCAACAGGAGTTCAAAATCCAGGGACAGCTACAAAAAAATAGCTCTGCAGTGGTGCAGCCCCACCTGACTGGGTGGCTGAAATGAAGCATCCTGCATACCCTGAGGAAGGGAATCTGCTGCAAGAGATTGAGAAGGGATGGGGAAAAAAGGGACAAATCATCCTAACCAGCATTTTGGGAGCTCAGGAGGAGCAGTTTCGTTGTCACATGAATGTGGGATTTACTTGAATCCCTCTCTTAAATCCACTTCTTCCCCTTGATGGCACCCAAAAGGCCCATTCTCATAAAAGGATGGAGGCCAAAGAATTCACAGAATCCCAGAATCATTCAGGCTGGAAAAGCCCTCCCAGCCCATGGATCCCCCCTGTGCCCGATGCCCACCTTGTCCCCCAGCCCAGAGCACTGAGTGCCACAGCCAGGCCTTCCTGGGACACCTCCAGGGATGGGCACTCCAAACCTCCCTGGGCAGCCCCTGCCAAGGCCTGACCACCCTTTCCAGCAACAAATTCCTCCTCCTGGCCAACCTGAGCCTCCCCTGGCACAGCTGGAGGTCAATTCTGACAATTAAAAATAAAAATTAGGAGATTCCAAATCAAAACCAGACCTTTCTAAATAGAAAGCTTTGTAACAGCTGGGACATACAATTGGAAACTTCCACTAATAAATATCTGAATTGTGCATCTGTCAGGCCATAGGAAGACAATTGCACTGCTTTTTTTCATTGCCATCTAATTAATTCACTAATGGCTTTGTTTACAAACCAGGCTAGAGGCTGCAATAGATTTGATTGCACTTCAAAATCTGTGGGCAGATTTCTCTTAAAACCCAAATACAACTGAAAAGTGTCGTAGTGTCCATTTAAAAAAGGTCTTGTATGGCCCCCATAAAATGTGGCAAAACTTTATGTGTGTGGTTTTGTCTTTTCTCTTTGCTCATCTCCATATTATAAAGGGGTTTTGCTTTTAGTGGTCACCATCAAGCCAAAAAGACTTCAAGGAGATCTGTGTAGCATATAAAAAACCATGCATTAATGGCTTGGATTATAAAATAAGAAGAATTTTAGTAACTTTGCAACTATTAAAATCAAGCCAGAGAGGGCTGAGAGGATTTTTGAGAAAAGGAAGGGAATTTAGAGCAGTTTTTACAAATTGAAGCCTGTTCAGTGCCCAACCACCCTCTGGAGGAAGAACCTTTTCCTAAGATCCAACCTAACCCTGCCCTGGCACAGCTCCAGCTATTCCCTGGGTCCTGTCCCTGCTCAGGATGTAAAGCTCAAAAGCACATTTATTCCTTTAGAGTTCTTCAGGTTCAGGTGATAATGGTTTTCAAATCCACACAACTCAACCTCACCAGCTGTATGTGTTTGTGTTTCCAGGGAGGCTACAGCAGGGAAACAATAAATATTAGGAGTAAAACTTCCTGGGGACCTCCTTCCCTAAAGACTTCAACAGGAAATCAGGGAAAACTGATCAGCAGCGGTTAGGAATATCTGACTCTGCTGCATGATGGGATCTGCAGGTCCTTTGCAGCCCCAGGATGTGCCAAGCTGTGTGTCTTCCAGAGGACATGGACCTGAATTTTACCTGTGCTCAGCCACCACCTACACAAACTGATTTCAAGGCAATAATGGCTCTAATCCCATATGTTCAGATACTCCCACGTATTTATTTCAGAGCTGTCAAAAATAATCTTGAGATAAACCCAAAAGAACTGACCTGGGGCAGACAATTGGAAGCGCATGACTTAAATGAAAAGGAAATTAAGGACCAAAGACAAGAGCAATAAAGTCCAGGAGAGATGATTTATGAGTGCTGGGGACACCTGACCCACATCCCTGTCCTTTGCAAAGCAGGACATGAACAGGAGGTGACACTCCCTATTCCCATGTGTTACTGAGGCCCCTGGGGCCCAGCACAGGAGATGCTCAACTGACCCAAAGCAGAGAAGCTGAGCTGCAAAAAATAGTGGGTGCATCCCAAAAAGTCCACTCCTATTATTTTCAGGGCAGACTGTGGTCTCTCCAACCCTGGATGGTTTATGCCCTTAAGAGAAACCTGGATAAAAGTTAATTACAAAGTCCAGTTAGGGATGAGGAAGAGCAACCACCAGTTGCCCTCTTGAGTGGTATGGGGGACGATCCCTGGGGGATCTTGTCCACACTATAAAAATCCTCCTCCTTGCAATGTCCTTTACTCATTTGATCAATTTTACTCTTGGAAAGCACAAAAATGTAAACGTTTTCCAGGAACATTCCTGCACTAACAGGCTCCTGTAACACACTCAGGCAATAAAAAAGTCAACTCCTCCACCGTGTTATACATTTCGTTCCTTTTTTAGCCTGAAATAATAAACCCATGTTTTCCATGGAGGAGGTGGAAGCAATTTTAGGCTCTGTTTTGACAAAAAGAATATTTTCTTGGTTTTACAACATTTCCCTCTGTGGTAAAGAAAAACAATAAGCGTCGAGCTGCACTTTTAAATATCTTTTATCCTTCTGGTGCAATTCAGCATTAGCTAAAAATGAGCTGAACCAGCATTTTCCTGGTTAGCAGAGGGGCACCCACCCCTGAAGAAAACCCCTGTGAGGTGATAGAAGTGTTTTTGCCATCAGCAGGTTCAGGGCTTCTTGGAGGCTGCTGAGATGAAGGTGAAGGGACTTCAAAAGGGCACAACCTGGATTAAACTCCTGCTCTAAGGCACCCTCAGCAGATGACTACAGAAGGAGCAGGGAAAGGGAATGAGGGAGCTCTAGGGACTCTCTTCCAAAACAACAGTTGCTAACAGCAAACAAATAACAAAGGAAACCTCAAACCCCAGGAAGGGACCGACACTCTCCCAGACACTCTCTCCTCCGCACGACTTTATAGACATCCAACCAGGAAAAGTCAGAAATAAATCCCAGGGGAGCTGTGCTCTGAACACAGAATTTACTGGTCACCTCACAAACAATCACCAAAACACCTAATTTTGCCCATTTTCCAACTCCCAGCACTACAGGTGCATTTGGTTCCCACACGGCTCCGAGCGGGGGCTTTCCCTGAAGTTCTGTGATGGCAACAGTAACTCTGCTCCTTTTCTGCCCCTAACCTGTAGGAGTTCCTGACATATTCTGCCAGTGTCCAGTGTCAGAAGCTCCTCTGTGATGTAAAATACCTCCCTCTTTCTATTCTCAGTTTCTGTATTGATGGGATGTTACAAACGGGCCACATGCTGCCCTTGGGTCTCCTCTCACTCAGGCTTTGCCTCAACAAAGAGCTCAAAATCCAACAGAGCAAAAAGCAAGCTCAGACTTTGTCTTTTCTCTACAATTCTGCAACAAGTGAGTAGCTTTCTGGGATGTTTTGCCACGGTGCAGGCACTGAATGTACAGCTGTCAGGAGCACTATCTCTAGACCTGAATTAGAAACTGCTTAGGAGCGACATGGTACCTTACTCCGGTAAGATTTTAGGTTGCTTTTTTAATCCTAGTGCTCAACAGCCACACAGGTTGTTTTTAAAAGGCCATAAATCAATGCCATGAACCACTTAGAGAGAAAATCACTGAATATTCTGAGCTGGAAGGGACCCATAAGGATCTTTGAATCCATTTCTTTAGTGAGTGGCCCATTCAGGGATCAAACCCACAACCTTGGTGTTATCAGCACCAGCCGAGTTAATCTCTCTCAACCCACCACATAAATTCTTCTTGTTGCTGCAAAGCTTTCTTTGTACATTTTTACTTCTCGGGGAACATGATTTATCTTTCTTCACCCATTAGAAAACACATCATCCCATCATATAATTCAGGTGTAATTAAGAAAAAAGAGGGCTCATAACACAGGACTGATGCCAGGAATAAGAAGAAAGGTCACCTACCAGCTCCACTCGGCCGAAGCCTCCGACTCCCAGGGTGTCGATGATGTTGAAGTCGGCCAGTTTCAGGTTGGCAAAGAAGGCAGCTTCGGCTTCGTATCTGGAGTTTTTGAGGCGAAAAAACGGAAATTTCTTAGAGGTGCAGCCAGGGGCACCGTGTGCCACCACGCCCGCCCGGCGCCAGCGCGGGGGCGCAGCCTTTACCTGCCGCATGGCCATCGGGGCTCTTAGGGTTTGCTTTTGCTCATGGGGTTTTGCTGGTCCCAGTTCCAGCCTCGCTCCAGTTTTCCAAGGGGGAAAAGCAAACCTCCCCTCCTAGGCATGGCTACAAAGCAAACGCCTGGCACTGCAATTCAGCTCCAGCCACCCGCCGGGCATTTTCAAGTGATCTTCTCCTGCCTGGTTTGGTTGGTTTTTTTGGGTTTTGGTTTGTTTTTTTTTTTTGGTGTCTTTGAGTATTTTTGGAAGATAAAAGTCTCTCATAGGAGTTTCTCTTATCCACAGGCCGGCAGTAGTTTCTATAAATGTTTATTGGAAATGGCAAGATCATTAAGGTCCCTGGAGAGAAATCACAGCCAGGTTTTATGAAATCAGATCCGATAAGCTGTGGGCTGGTGTGCAAATGCCTGAAATGAATGACTTCAGTCACATATCAACATTCCTATGAGGATATCTTCCCTTCTTTTCCTCCTGTAAACTCACTTGGAGTAGCTGTCCCAACCCAGGTTCCAAAATCCAGATGCTCCCTGTCTTTAGCCCGTGTCCAACTGGCTCCCACAGGCGTCCACCAAAGCCCCTGACCAGGGGTAGCATGCAAATCAAACACATGCAAGCCTGCCAAAATAAGCTTCCCATGACTACCCCCATGAACATGAGTCCTCCAAAATAGCTCCTTGTTAAGGTTTGTGCTATTTTTAGAAAAGGCTCGGAGGGGAAATGGATGAACAGGATCCACCCACTCAATAAAATGTGACATTCAGCTGCCGGAGAGTCCCCGCGAGCGTCCGACCTTTGGCCGGTGGCAGCACAGACTTGTATGGGAAAAGGGAGTTGGCTGGATTATGGAGGGAGGCATGGAGGGTGTACAGGGGCAGCTGGGTGGTTTGCAGGACTTAATTTGAGCAATTAACAGACTGCAATCACCTGTTTCACCTGGAGGCTTCACTCGTGCAGGGTAACGGAGTGACAAACCATCCCAGTGGGAACCACGGACACACAAATCCACCCGTCCAGCTTTTGAACGTCCCCTGTCCGTCACGGCCTGTCTCTATTTCATTAGCAGCTTGCAATTGATTTCCTGACTGATTCCCTTCAAACCACCTTCCTTAGTCTATTTAAAACTCCAATGACACTGGGGGACAGAGAGCAAAGACCCATCATTTTTCAAGCGAAAAGGGGAAAAATCGGTGTCAAGAAATGAGAAAGGTCTCGCCGTCGAGCCCCAGATCCGATGCAATAAAGCACAATTTTCTCTCGGGGAGGGGGGTGTGGTGCTGTCAACAAATTACTTCAGCTCTGCTTTATTATTTATACTGTCACCAGATCCCCTGGGTGACCTTGCTCCTGATGCATCTGACTTTGGAAACCAATGAGCGCAGAGCCTGCTCTGAACTTGGGATAACCTTGTTATTGATCGCTCTGTGCTCCTCACCAGCTGCATATTAAACCAGCCACCAGAACACCTCTGCTGAATCCACCACATGTTTAGACATCCCCTTCTAAATCACAGCAGACACGTCGTTTTAGGGGTGACAGAGCAAAGAGACAGCTCTAATTTTCGGGATGAAAAATTAGACCACTGGTACAGACCAGTTAAACACCCTTAACGATTTATAATTGTTATGAAGGTGAATTCCCAGCATGGAAGATTTCCCTTCAACAGCCAAACTTCAGGTCAGGAGGCAAAAAATGGGTTGGCTTGGAAGGCACCTTAAAGACCATCTAGTTCCAACCTTCCTGCCACGGGCAGGGACACCTTCCAGCAGACCAGGCTGTGCAAGCTGAAAGCTTCTGGATTTTCACTGGAACATGTAAAAAGAGGTGTTCAGGTGTTATTTTGCTTAGAAAATGTACTTGCAGCATTCTCATCATTGCTTTTGGAAATCTCTTGGCTAACTCTCTGCTCAGGTGGAGTTTGTACACGCAGGTAGATGAGACAGACTGGATGCAGCTTTTCCAGAGGTGCCACAAGCATCCAAAACACAAAAGAAATGCCCAAAATAAACAGTGAAACCAAAACACGTGCAAAATCAAACAAACAAGCCCTTCTCATGCCTACTAACAACAGCCCCAGCTGAATTCTGTTTTATTCCCACCTAAAAGTGTCAAAGTCCACGTTAACACCAAATTCCTACAAACTTACAGTTGTTATGCACTTCAGTCCTGCAAAGCTTAAGGATAAATAACTCCAACAGAAAGAACAAAATGCAAATATTCCCCTGCCATCTCCTAAATCAGAAACTGGGGGTATGATCCTTATCCTGAAATTTAGAACAGGAATTCACCTCCTGTCCTCCAACTTGCTTAAGCTGAGTTTGCTGCTCCCTAAAACTCCCAAGGTTTTCCAGCGTGTGCTCCTCGCTCCACACATTTATAGGGACAAACATATGTGATGGCATATTTATCACCTCCAAAAGTAAAGAGACTCTTTCAAGGCACTGGGAGGGCAGTGCCAAGAAATACAAAAATAGTTTAAATGTTAATATTGGTGTGTCTGTAGGAAAACATTCAGTTCTGGACCAGGATAAAGATACTGAGGAGAATCCTTGGGATAGTCACAGAATGGGTCAGGCTGGAAGGGACCACAGTGGAGCATCTGGTCCCACCTCCCTGCTCCCATCTCAGAGCATGTGGCACAGGATTGTGACCAGACAGCTCTGGAATACCCCCAAACTTCCATCAATTTTATTCTAAATCCGCAGCCTTGTGCTGGTGTTCCCAAACTTTCCAGAGGGGAAAACGCTTTCCTGACCTCTGGAAGAGTTGGTGATTTAGTTCCTAAATTAATAAATGACAGGTGTGTTGGGAAGACACCTTGGGCAAGCCCAGGGCAGGATCAGCGTTCCTGGCATGGTCAGTGAGGTGCTGGAGCAACACAGAGGAAAGGCTGGAATGTCCTGGGCTGGGATTTCTGGGGTTGTGTGTCTCTAGCTGAATTAGGGGTAAGGAAGAGAGAACCCTTCTCTGGATATTGTGGTAACTGTGCTGGCTCACAGGCCAAAATGCTGGGAGAATCATAGCTGGAAGCACACAAAAAGAAAAGATACCTGGGAAAAATGGGAAAACCAAGGAAAAGTTGGTTCTTTAATAAAGAGCTTTTAAAAACGAAGGCTGCAATTCCCACAAGAGCTGGTGGGAGGCCAGGAATCAATTCCCAATGCACTCTTAAGGTGTTTTTTGCTTACTGATAGGGGGTCTTATCACCTACCCTACAGCAAACAGAGGCTGGCAGGGCTGGGGCTGACAGCAGAGGTGGGACATCACGAACCAGCACAGGGAAAGAGGGATTCAGATCTAAGTGAAACAGGAGCATCCTGCAGAACCCCTCAGGCTCTCCTCCAAGGTTTCCTGCAAATCTGAATGACAGAGGGACCTACTGAGGCCTCAGTGGCTTTCTGCAGCCACCTTGCCCTGAGGGGTATCCATGTGATCCCATGGAAGAGCTGGGCCTTGGCAACACCACTTCTTTCTCTCCCTGCAAAGGAAACACATCCTCCTAAGGAGCTGCCTTGCTCCAGCTCCTCTTGGGCACGGAGAGGCATCACATGGAAGAAACCTGAGTGATCAGGGGGCTCAGGAGTAAATACCATCACCCACATGTCCCACCCCTTTGGAATGGCAGCACAGGAACCACGGCCCAAGCGTTTGGGCAATGCCTGCTATGCACAAGGGGAGAGGAAATCATGTGGCTTGTTGCACTGCTGGAGGTTCCCAACCATTTCAGTGAGCCATCACCTCCTAGCACAGTGATTACTCTGAGAACTACTCCAAGCTTTTCCTCCCAGAACCACGAATAAAACAAAAAAAATGATTAAACAACCATCTCACCTAGGCAGCTAAAAGGGATAAATGAGAACATGTGAGGAGCAAAGGTTTGCAATTATCCAACTGCTCAGCTTTACTAAACTAGCTCACGATTCTCATCACATGAGCCAACTGTGTTGGGAAACATTAGACATCTGTTAGCAAACTGTCATCCTGAGAGCAAACTTGGCTCCTTTCCACCTGCACGCTGCCAACCAGACAGAAATTGCCACCAAGTGGGAACCAACCCCCAGCTCCCTGATAGGAACAGTTTGGGTGGATAAAACCAGAATTTCGGAGCCCTTCCCAGTGACAGACACCTGCTTGTTTAACACCTCTTTGGTCAGCTTTATATCCATGGCTGAGGCCATGTCCTGCTGCAGAGGGAACCACTGGATCTCTGCAAAGACTGGAACAACTACAACAACGTCACTTGGGTGGTGAGGATCAGACCCAGCCCGTGAGAAGACACACCTGAAAGGAGCCTGAGAGCCACAGATGGGGTGGGGGGAGAAATACACCCAAAAACCCCCTTATTTCTGTGTCCACTAAAGAAAAGAGTCCATCTCCTTATGGTTCTTAAGATATAGCAAGATTCTTAAGGGATCACAGAAGCACAGAATAACAGACTGGTTGGGGTTGGAAGGGAGCTTAAAGCTCATCCAGTGCCACCCCCTGCCATGGGCAGGGACACCTTCCACTAGCCCAGGTTGCTCCAAGCCCCGTCCAGCCTGGTCTTGGACACTTCCAACTAAATTCTATTGAAATGCTGCTTCAGCTGGTGTGGCACTTACAAAAAAAAAAAAATCAGTCTGTGTAAATGAAAGCAAAAATTCCCCCAGATCTTTGGTTTTGTGACTGTTCTTTCCCTGCATCTGAAGATACATATTTCAATTGTGATGAAATGACCCACCTGGGTCTAGTCTGCCCATGGTACCCATGGCCTGCCTGGCACCCTGAAGTCATGGGAGGCTTCCTGGATTGGATTCATGACTTAAGAGAGATGCAATTCCAAAGGGGAATGAAAAGTGGCAGGGACATGGATCGAGTTCATGTAACAAGGAGGCTTTGTTGTCG